ATATAATGAAGAGACACACTTCCCTAACTGTTTCTTTTTTCTGATGGACTCAGAGATATATTTTTATAGAAGTGAACTGATTGTCAAATAAAAGAAACTTGTGAATGAATCTATTTGAGACTGGGTCTGTTGTTGTTGGCTGATTGAGACTGGGTCTGTTGTTGTTGGCTGATTGAGACTGGGTCTGTTGTTGTTGGCTGATTGAGACTGGGTCTGTTGTTGTTGGCTGATTGAGACTGGGTCTGTTGTTGCTGGCTGATTGAGACTGGGTCTGTTGTTGGCTGAAAGTAATAAACGAGTTCTTTAAAGAAAGAAACCCTGCGAGAGTGTTGGGAGGCAAACCATAAACAAAAACAATTAAATTCCGCTTCCGTGTGGACTGCCGTGATGATATTTAAGGAATTTTTTTGTTAATCGTTTGCACATTATTGAGAACAAGTTTAGTAACTTCATGGAGCTTTTGAACTTACGTGCCTTTTACTTACATATTGTCGAGGATTGTCGAGTGTTCCAGCGGCTAAGACCGTTACGTAAGTACAAAAGGGAGTCCAAATACGACCGAAAAATAAATTGAGGAAGGTATAGACGAATTGAACACTGATATGAATGGGGAATGGGAAAGCAGATATTTAGTATAATATTACAAGTATGAATGTTACGGCTCCACAAAATTTTGGTAGGTATTTTGCGACCATGGTCTATCATATAAAGACAATAGTTCAGTAGCCAATCAGAATGCTGGATTTATGATAGCACATTGTTTGCTGTAAAAAGTCTTTATCTTGGTATAATCTTAATTTTTTGCTGTAAAAAGTCTTTATCTTGGTATAATCTTAATTGGTGGGAACTAGCGGTAAACTAGTGTGAGCTGCGTCGGTGTTTCTAAAGAAACAGTTGTGTAAAGAAGATAAGTTTAACACCGTAAAAAAGTATGTGGAATAACTTACTGACGTTTCGGATGTTAATCCTTCGTCGGAGTAAAGAGAGAGAAATAGGTATAGTGTGAGTTTATATAGTAAGAGTAGCAAAGAGAAATAACGAGAAATAAACAAAAACGCAAAGGAAGTGTTACACAAAAGAACAATAAAGGTGCTAAAAAGGAAACAAAAGAATTAAAACTTATCTGAAAACAAAACGTTCATTCAACCCATGGGGATTATAAGTGCCCAATTGGTGAATGAGCCGCATTTCTTTGGTTTTACGACAATCATTATTGCCGTAGCCTGCGTTACATCCGGAATATTCTTCGATGTAACGCAGGCTATATTGCCGCTAATCAAAGACAAACCAAAAACAATTAAGTTAGAAATAGAATGGTTGGGTAAGTTAAAATGGCGGGAAACAGGCTTATCAAGATCATTCTTACGAATACTACGAAGATGTTCAAAGATACGATCGCCAAGACGACGGCCAGTCTCACCGACATACAACAAATTACAAAGCGAACATTTAATGCAATAGACAACATTAGAGGTGCCTACCTTGCTCCTATTGGTCTATTCTCTTTGTTACTCTTACTATATAAACTCACACTATACCTATTTCTCTCTCTTTACTCCGACGAAGGATTAACATCCAAAACGTCAGTAAGTTATTTCCCATACTTTTTTACGGTGTTAAACTTATCTTCTTTACACAACTATAATCTTTATTGTTTGCAGTAAAAAGTCTTTATCTTGGTATAATTTTAATTGTTTGCTGTAAAAAGTCTTTATCTTGGTATAATTTTCGATGCAAAAGTAATACAAA